TTGCAGTGAACTTTCAACATTACGATCTAAGAGTAACATTAAACACTTTGTTTACCTAATAAAGTTACGAAAGGTAGTGTACTTATGTTAAAAAAATACATTCTATCTATTTTAAAGGAACATCAAAAAGTAACAATCAATTTTTGTTTCTACAATTTGTAAATTATTGAACAATTAGATTTTGTCGTGTTTGTTATTTGAAATATGTCGTGACATTCATTTCTTACAATAAGTTACTTTATTTACCTACTTGCTCAACATAATACTCTGCAACTGCAGTGAATAAATAATGATGTGAGTAATAAACAGAAAAACTTAAATGCACATTTCCCAGCATATATCCACTAAATCGCTAATAAGTACAGACCTCTACAACACAAATAACACTCAACGCGAATTACAACAACATTGACACAAAGTGTAGTTTTAAACATGCATTTTTATTTCATACCATCACGTTCCATAATCCTTCTCACAAATGGAACGTATAATTTTATAATTTCGTACGCATAAGGGTTAAAATTAAAGGAGACGACAGCTCGTCATGACCTAGTTGTAACAAGCGAGTGGGCGTGGTTATGAAACTGGACAAAAATACATGCCATAAGTGATTTGCAAGAAGTGGCAAATTTTACTTTGTACTTTATAAGGAATTAGTGTTGAGCAATTTTTTGATTGCAGAGAAATTTTGTTTATTGAGTACGGCTTTTGATAGGTGGTTGGTGGTTTGTTGTTTTTGTACTCACAAGATGTATTTATTACCTTACAACATTTGATATACATAATTTGTCTACAAGAGAAACAGTCTCTATTTGAATATAATATATATTAATTTTTTATGACACCAAGTGAAGGGACGAACAAGTCGTGCGCCTGGTGGTAAGCGACACGCCTATCCTATGAGCTTTAAATCGCAAAGATCTGAGGGGCATAGACACTGCGCCCTGGTCGGCAAGTCCCTTGTGCGTGTAATTTCACCAGCACCCTTACACTTTAAAATCGGAACGCAGTAACACTCACTTTACCGCTTGGTGATAGAAATAGTTAAGTTGGTAGTACTTCACTGGATGAATTCTTTCACAGTCACTGTCTAGTATTTTTAAAGGATTCGACAATGTTAATCATTCTATTCGATACCATAGTCTTGATCGCCGCCGGGCGCAGTCGTCTGCGCTAACGCAGATTATAGTCATCACGCGCGAGAGGGACTGCTTTAATAAGTCAACAGTTTTAAACGTTAATTTGTACCAGTACGTCTCATAAGACACGTCCGAGCGCCGATAAACTTATTATTAGCTTTCTGCTCCCAAAGTAGCTTTTAAAAACGTCCGATTAACAACTTCACTGGTAATAAAAATTTTATAGCGGACGCTTTAGGCTGAGAAAATTTTAAGTAGTAAAGAAATGTGGTACTAGAAATAAGGTACGCTTTATGTAATGTAATCACCCTAAAATTTGTTTGAAAATTAGCCAACGTTGCAAATGGTTCTCTATCTTCAAGTCATTACTCATGAACAACGTTACAAACTAAACTCAACAGGACGACTCATGCCCTTGTCGAAAAAAGTAGAAAAAAAGTTGGCGCGAGTCCGAAGCGGGACTTTCATAATTTGAATTTCGAACATGCGGTCAGCAGCTCTTGGATTTTGGAATGTCTACTCTCTGCTCTAAGCGCTACGGTTGTAATTTTTTGGAACATGGACAAAAAATTTTATTTTTTGTGCGAGATTTTTTTTGATGCAGCGTTAGATTCGTTCCTGTCTCTTCTAGGAATCCCTCATTACTGCGTCGGGTGAACAAAATTTATTACGTTATGCTCGAGATGATTTGTTGAGGCTTCTGCCCAATTAGACGCACAATAGTATGTAATTTTAATTAAGATGTTTTCATGGTTTAATTTCGCATAATACTCGTAAAACTACAGTAATTTCTGAGCTTTTATGGCGGAATTGTTTCTTGTTAGTTAGTTAAAGTAACAAAGTAATACAATTTAAGCTTATTAATGTAACACAAAAACCACATTACTATGTTTCATTGACGATACAATAAATCACGTTTCTTCGAACAACTTTTATAACAATTCGAAATGTTAAATTGAACATTTCTTCGAAGCTAATCGGTTCGATTTTAATCGCATCTAATGGAATTGTTATTCAAGGCCATTTTATCACCGAAGCTTTATGTGACATAACGTTACGGCCGACCACAAAGAACGATTTTAATACGTGAACGCAATCGCAAAAGAAGATATTACTACCATTGTGTCTCAGTGACAACTCGATTAAAGGCTGACAACTTACATCGAAGCCTCGAGATCTTGCGAAATTTTAAAGAATTAATTTTTACTATTGACAACACAAATTGACGTCAAAAATTAATACTAAGGCCACTTATTACTTCAGGTCTAAAAGTATTCGTCAGATTTTCAAGTTTAAAAATGTAATTCGAATACAAAAGACATCACTATCCGTCGGCAATTCGAATTCAGAACGACGGAGTTCGAAATTTGAAATGCAGAATTTAATTTGGTATTACTGCCAGTTGTAAAACTCGCTTGACTTTAGTGTTATTGTAAAAGATCCATTATTTTACAGGAATTGTAAAACAGAAATAACAAGGGTTTATGTCTTTGTCTCGGCCGAGAAGGGTTTATCAATTTTATTGAAGACTAAGGTTAATCTTAAATGTAGCTATATGTTATAGTAATTTTTTTTAAATCACTGCTTTAATAATGCACGACTAGTAAATCGTTAATTAAGCACATATGTTGAAATTTTATTATTCATCAAGAAAAAAACTGCTGGTTTTAAAAGGACGTTGGTAGCGCTTTGTTTTGAAAAAGCATTCAGTATGCTGTATGTGCGTATTCGACAACACGAGCGCATTAACATTCTCGACTCTCGCGCAAGTTCTCATCGAGACGCACACGTTTGTTTCTCATACTGTCTCCGTAAACGTTTACCTTTGACTTTGTAGCTGATTATTTTTATCCCAACCACATATAAGCATTCTTTATAAGGCGTTAACTGTGAAAACGGATATTCGTTCGCAATGTGCTAAATGAAATTAGGAAGTCATTATTATACTTTAACGTCCAACATACAAAAGTGGCAAAAGACACCTTGACAACACTAAGAATTATTTTAGCAGCTTGTATCACATGGCGTTATTGATATTTATTTATTCAACAAGCTATCACCTGTCAGGTATTCTGTCAAGACAATTAAAAATTTAATTCTTAACATGTATTGAAAAATTTATCGCCAAAAGAAGCAAAATAATACTTTTAATTAGTCGCAATAGTACTGGAGGAGCGTAGGAAATGCGATCACATGAATAATTCATTAAAGATAACGACCAAAATAAAACGATTGTTCACTTCTCAGAACGAACTATGTTTAGGTTAGTTCAGGCTTCCTTTTATAAGTTATATAAATATTTTTTCTTAAATAATTTCAAAACTGCACGACGACAAAAATGTTACCTTTTCGGAGAAAAGAATTCCTTTTTTAAATTTAAAAACGTAACTGGTGATAAAAACGGATCCGTCACAGAACCGTTCAAACCTCTAAAATATATTAAAATAAACTCTGTTTTCAAACTGGTCACTCGTGACCCCAGTTGTCGCATTTTACAGCGCGCAATAAAAAGGAAAAAGGATTTAAAAAATGCATTTTTTCTCTATAAAGAAAAGGACGGAGGGGTTATAAATAATATTCTTTTTTGCTCGTATGGTCCCTGCATTGAAAAATGGTCGCATCTACATCTGAATGGAATTTTCAAGACATCTTCTTTATGTACCATTTTAATATTAGGCTACATACTACAATTACAACAGTCAATTAGTTAGTTTAACTTGTTGTTCTGGTCATTACAATATTCAAAATAATAACAATAATAAATAATGACAAGTGTTGTTTATAGTGTTTTTTATGGGCTATAAAAACTAGCGTGCAGGTTCTGATGTGACACTAATGGTAACGATCTAACGTTTTCTGCACCTTACTAAAGCGAATAACGAAACGTGTAACCGATATTTAATATCAAATTAACACAGGACTTTAATAAAATATGTATTATAATAATTATGGTGTGTTTTACTTGACTACCTACTTATTTTCTTTAAGGACATCCCAAGTTTTTTGCTTAGCAGGTGTTGTAGCGCACATTTGAACAGCTATTTTATTTATTAGGGGTATGTTGATTACAAAAAATAAATGCCATTACAATTATAAACTATGTCCTTTTTCAGATGTCATTTATGTTTTGTAGTACTTCTAAAGAGGGACATTGGTTCCTAATTAATAGGTTACGTGGAAGAAAGGACTACAATGAATTTCATCCGTTTTTAGTACCTAGTTTACTCTTTCTATAAGTACCTTATAATATAACATGTTCTTAGAATGCCTGTTCCTAGTTGGTCATGCTACGCTTTATTTTCTACAAATAGATTATCATTTTTAATCTTCATAAAAACCATATTTCTAGCTTTTTTTAAAAAAAAAAAGCTAAGCTAATGCGACAAATAAGCGACCCAACGATGAAAGCCACTTTTTTCGTATTATTTGTATGGTACTGGCGTTCATCTAGTTCTAGTTCCAAGATCCGTCTTGGATGCTCCACGGGCGGACACAAATGGATGCAAAGTTCACGCCACTCGACCGTCCACCGGCACCGATAACGGATTAATTACGTTATAAATTAGCCGACACACTTCCCCACGCACTGATAACAACACCCGACGGCGCCAATGCATTGCACGACCAGATGAAACAACGGATGTATGACTGGCGATAGAACAAACATAGAAAAGTATCGTGTGTTTATGTAAACGAAAACTGACGTGTAAATATCACGTCACGAACTTCCGAACGCAATTTCGAAGAGTCAAGAGTGCTGTCACACTTTACAAAAATAACAGACGGATCTTGGTAGCGAAACTGCAGGCCAGCGACCCCTTTAAAACACTGATGGGTCATAATTAATCGGTCGGCACATACCTAAACACGACGGGCATGGCTGTCCACGCGCCGCGAACTCCAAAACACGTTCAAAAACGCACTGCTTGATACACAACACGCACGTTACATTCTCGTTATCACACACTGTTGTCGCTTATTGCACTCGCGTTGCACGTAATGTGGTACACTGGTCATTATTTTGTTTATCGGCCGGTAGTTTTGGTTGGCGTGAGAGTATACGAGCCAACACAACACGCCCGGCGAACTCCGCGAGTGTACTGCACACAACAATGGTCGGCCGGCGCGAACGAGCGCCGCACACAGGGTTGTCGCACTCACACGCGCGCGCGCGCCGTGCACCGACAGCCCGCGTATAAAAAACGAACGATCGGTATGCAGACGTTCGGTTTGAGCAGGTCCTCGGCTTGACGCTGTTTTCGTCTGCGGTTCAGGGTTCCCGGAAATTTATCCCTGTTCTCCACATTTTTTTTATTCTCATTGTAGTGAAGAAATAATTTGAGTGTTGAATTTCAGCGGTAATGGCAAGCTTTAGTAGTTAGAACCGAAATAGATACCTTTTGTATATGTCTACTAAAATATACTTAATATTTTCTTAATACCTACACATATCACACGATACCGCATTAGTGCTATTTTTAAGTAAACTATCATATCAGCTTATCTAGTATCATTAATTCGTAATAACTAAGCACTAAAAAAACTAGCAAAATAATTTTCATACATACCTGGATAAACAACATTGTTCGCCGAAGTTTAACTTCTGGAAAAGTTCTAAGCCTGCTTTCCTTATTAATAAGTTAATTAACCTCTACATTGTATAGCAACGTGTTAACTTTTGCATTTAAATTACGGCCAAACTCAAACTATTCTTGAATCGAGAACAAAGCCTCTACATTTCTACCAGGTTCTCGGTAGAAGTCCCCACATGGCAACATTAAAAACAAAAGAACGGCAGTCAGCGAACCTTGAGTGGGCAGGCATACGATTCGAGCCTGCGCCCGAGTCAGCGCGCCATGTTGCTAGCAGCAAGAAAGAGATAGCGCTCTACAATCGTATCGAACGTCTTACTCACACGCTTGTTAGCGTTATTGCGTGCCGTAACTATACTCGTCAGCGACTATACCACACACCCACACGCACATTGTTATCTTACACAAAATTTATAACGAGCAAGTCAGATTTCGTCTGGACACTCCTAAATTCTTTGCGGAAGGATTTATTTTTTTTAAACTCACGCCTTTGCCCGCGGGCCGGATAAAAATTATAATGGACGTTGAAAAGTTTTAAATAGTTTGTTTTAGCGCCCGATTATCCTCATTTTGGCAGCACTGTTTTGGCGGGGTGTTGATTGAAAATCGTGAATGGACCGTTTGTGTGAATGGAACAATTTGTAGGTAGTATTTTATTGGGATTTATTGGTGGATGACGTCATTTTGTGACACGCACTTAATATGTTTGCACAGTACCTGTTCCTATTATGTATCTACCTACTCACGGTAATATATGTTATGTTGGTACTTGTAACTGGTACTTGCAGTGCATAGATTAATTATAGTGTTTATTTTTGTTAGTAAACTTGATTTATTATGGGTTGGTTGACATGACTGTTTTATGCGCGCTAATGCATTTTAAGTGAAATTTTGTGTAAAAACTACACACAAAAAACTTACAATGTTATACGGCGGCTATGATTGGGCCACCATTTTGAACCTTTATGCCAGATGTGATAGACCGGACAGAGACCGGATCAGTTTTCTACTGGTCCTCGTCCGCAGGAGCTCGTCCCGGGCGGAACGAGATACTTAAGTCCGAAATAAGAAATTTCATTCGTCGTCTGGTTCCACCCACTGGGATTATTTAAAAATTTGTCCTCTATCTCGTTTTGTCATCCACTTCATTTCGTCCTCCATTTAGTTTTGTTCTCCATCTCGTTTTGTCCTACATCTCGTTACAGGCGAGACGAGTTTCACGGGACTAGTGAATGATTAAATCCGGACATTGAAACATTACCTTAAGTGCACCGTTTTTATAAATTATGGAACGGAAACACGTGATTGAATTTGGATGTTTAGCATCTAGAGAGTCAATCACGTGTTCTATATTGTTTAGATCACAAAAGCATTCACAATGGTTTTCTTTATATTATTTTTCCAAATAACTGAAGCAGCAGGGCAATAGTATTCCTTCAGCCACTAAAAGCCTAACAAAAAGTGTCACTGTAGTTGATAGGTCCTTACACGATTCTCATTGGCTTGTCTAAGAAATTTATTCACCAGATCACCTACTTACTCCCCCTAACAAACACCGAACTGGTTGAAAAGCACGTACCAATTTGAAATAGCAATTATAATTTACAACTAAGAATGACTATTTCACATAGCTTTTATTATAAAAATTGGCCTTACGTGTAGGTACGGCCTACACCAGGAGCCGCAAGCGCGAGAAGATGCATATCATTATATTCTATTAGTACATCGTAATGTTCACAATTATATTACGTTTATTTGGCTAGTTTATTATATATCGAGTTCTTAGGTTTTCGCGATTGTTTCGATGCCTTACTTTCTCAAACTCGTATCTTATAAAAGTGATTATTCAGGAGATGGCAAAACTTTGAATTTATTTTAAATTTCTTGTCAAGGGTGTTAATTTGGAAGCATTACTTTAAGAATAGGTAAAAGCCAGTGTGTGAATATGAAGGAAATGTGATGTTGTGTGTGCATTTCAGTACATTCGTAATTTAAGGTAAGAGTTTGGGAAATTAAGACGACGATTTGTTTACGTAACTCTAAGAGCGTTTGCGCCCTTCGTCCGATTCGTACCAGTTCCGAATCCGGGAAAGGACGGTCCAAAATATCAGAGGGATCATTTTATCTCTAGTTGTACAAGCGATATTCGTATTTTCTCGGATTTGAATCGAACTTAGTGCACAAGCGACATCCGAAGTGGGTCCGAATTTTGCTAGATTTAGAACGAATACGAAACGCGCTAAGTGTAACTCTTTAGAGCTCCTTGTGAAAGAGTTCGTCCAGAGAAGTACTGCCACATTACCTATTTCTGCAGCCAACCAGTAATGTGAGCATTTCAACGTTCTGGTTTTGAAGGGTAAAGGTGCTGGTGAAATTACAGACACCTGGCGATTTGTCAACTTACATATGTGTCAGGGTGACGGGCGCAGTGGCATTACCCCTCAGATCTTTAAGCTCTGAGTAGCACTGCAACTGTTATGAACAGGCTTATAGCTTGCCATCAGGCGCACAACTTGTTATAAAAAAAAATATACTTTTTTCTTGTGGGAACTTGGACTATTGGAGACAAGAAATATGACAGGTTTCTGCACTTATACTTTTTACACGAATTAATTTTTAGCAATACTTATATTACGTTGAGTTTCTTAATTATTGTTACCTCTTTAAGCTTATGGCTCTTAAGCCAATGCTCAATAAATAAATAATAATAATTGGGGAACAGTTTTGCAAGTGTCAATTTTAATGACCTTAATGACATGGACGAAATTTTGGGGTATGTGTGTATGACGTGTCGTCGCAGCCAAAACTTTTACACTTGTTTTACAATAAAAACCAGTCAATTGCATATAGAAATAGAAAATATCACGACGTAATTACTGTCCTCCTGTCAAGTCACTATATAGCGTCATCGACATTAGTCTTTAATCACTAAAAACGACATTTTTGGGCGAAACAAGTAGCAAATTTAAAATAGGACTGCCAGCTTTAACAATTTTTTCAGTAAAAGATATAGATAATATTATGAAACCTATCAAACGTTAATATTCTTTGTTGCGTGACACGAAAAAGAAAAAGAAACTTTTTTTTAATTTATTTCGGCGCTGGAATGTACTGGTGTTGTGTTGATATAATTTGAAACCTTGATACTAGAATTACGGGAATGGCCTTTTCATTATTGTATTCTGCATTTCACTAAGTTTGCAAGAAAAAGAACTTTACCACGTTTAAGTGAGATTGTGGTTTAAAAACTTGATCATTACTTCTGAAAAAAATGAAATTGGCCTAATAGTTAGATATAAAAGTGATATAACATTAGACGTGATAGTTTGGCGCTAAGAGCACTGCCCGCCCATAAAATAAATCCCACCCTCTTTGCTGCCCCGAATCTAATTTGTAGGTGTCCATACCTACATGTATACGTTATTGCCTACGACTCTGTTAGGGGTGGTTTTTATTAAAAAGAAAATTCGGGGGTGGTGTGTTTTCGTTTGATTAGTGATTACTCTGTACTATATCGTGCTGTATCAATCATGTAAACAGCATTACTGGGCACGTGTTTGAAAGAAAGGTAATTTTTTTTAGTGACGAGAATAACAACAGGTCCACACAAAGAGAGACACTGCCACTGCGCCCGTCACTTTCTGACGTAAGTTGACAAGTCTCATGTGCCTGAAATTTCACCAGTATCCTTACCCTTCAAAACCAGAACGTTGTGATGCTCACATTACTGCTTGGCGGCACAAATAGGCAAGATGGCAGTACTTTCTTGACCGAATTCTTTCATAAGGAGCTGTACTGCTGCTGAACGTCGTACATGGCCAGATTAACGTTTTAGAAGACTTTACAAAAAATACACAATAATTTTAGTAACAAATAATACTGTTATAAAAACCACATAAAAATTATAAAAAACGTAACGAATTCAGTTCTCAATTACAATTTATTTTTTTTTGTTATTGATTTAGGTAGTGACATTTCCGGTTCATAAGAATTCTAATTTGAAAACCATTTGAAAATCAACTAGACGAAGACCATGTTTATATTATATTTTATATATCCATACAATTGGCAAAATCCAAAGCAATCTCTGCGAGATTTAAGAAAGGTGGGAAGTGATTCAGAAACCGCTATTTTGTGAGGAAAATAATACTACGTAATTTACTACGTACAAGGAAGAGTTATTCTCTTAAGAAATATTCTGTTTGCAATAAATAGAAACTCACGTGCAACACAAGAGCTATATAAACAAGAATATTTTTTTTTAATGTAATGAATGAGGCAAAGGAGCAGACGAGCCACTTGGTAGGAGGTGGTCATCGTCGCCCATAGACATTTGCAATATCAGATGAGCTGCCTATGCGTTGCCAGCCTTTGAGAGCCCTGTAAACACGCTTTTTGAAGAACCCCATGTCATAGCGCAAAGGAAATACTCCAGGAGGAAGATCATTCCACACCTTGCAGATTCGAAGTTACGATGCCAGGCATCTA